GTGTGTGTGTGTGTGTGTGTGTGTGTGTGTGTGTGAGTGAGAGAGAAAGAGAGAGAGAGAGAGAGAGAGAGAGAAAGAGAGAGAGAGAGAGAGAGAGAGAGAGAGAGAGAGAGTGAGAGGGAGGGAGGGAGAGAGAGAGGGAGAGGTGCCTCATAGAGAGAGGCGAGAGATAGAGAAAACAGGGGAGTAAGACATAGAGACAATTACAATTTGGTATCGCAACATAATTCAATTCTTTTTAAAATATAAGAGAATCAGCTTAGGATTAGAAGGGGTTAAAAATGTGTACTGGGTTATGAATTTGTCCAGGTCGACAAAAAGTCGATGATAAACATAAATATTGTTATCTCACATTCTATTAAGGGGTTTACAATTAACTGAAGAGCGGCCTGCGTTATGAGTCATTATCTATGATCTAAAAAGCCTTCGGTGACTCACAAAGGTCGGAGAACTCTCTTATCAAAGGCTCCTCGAGACAATTGAGTACTTAAATCGTCAAGCCATGCATTTCTGGGTCGAATCCCTTAACTGATAAGTGTTTGACTGACATGTTATATCTCCCAAAACCACTTATAGTACATACACACAAAGACTGACAAAGTGAAACGTGAGAATGTGCAATATAGATCTACTAGCTTTGACTCCCTGTTTGTTTAATAATAAGCTATTCTCTGTAAACATTATATGTTGCTGAAACTGGTGCAAAGATGACCGAGTTATTGCCCAGAAAGCAAAATGTTTAAGGAGAGTTAGGGGGGAGAGGGTGGGGAGAGAGAGAGAGAGAGAGAGAGAGAGAGAGAGAGAGAGAGAGAGAGAGAGAGAGAGAGAGAGAGAAAGAGAGAGAGAGAGAGAAGCAGTTTCATTCTTTTAACAATTGTAATACGGGCTTTGAAGTGTCCTCGGTTGCCTAATGAAAACCCTCGAACTCGCACCAATAAGCTTGGAGGTTTGATTACCGCCAGGGGCCCGACGTAGTGTCCTTGTGAAAGGCACACTTGATTTTTCTCACTTCTCCCTAATAATAATAATAATAATAATAATAATAATAATAATAATAATAATAATAATAATAATAATAATAATAATAATAATAATAATAATAATAATAATGATAATAATGATAATAATAATAATAATAATAATAATAATAATAATAATAATAATAATAATAATAATAATAATAATAATAATAATCTTATTATTGTAATGGAGCTAAGCTCGTTTGTGGGGTCAGTATACATTTTGTACACAGGTGCCCATAAAATATACCAAAAAAATGATTCAGTTAAGAATTGTCACAAAGGGCTACGTAGCCGTATTTTCAAAGTTCGAAAACTACCTTTTGAATGTTCAGGTTTGATGGTTTCTCCTGTAAATCGAAGCTCTCGGATGTTTTCACTCTACCTTTAGCCATTTCATATTTTACTGGGGACTACTTTGGTTTCGGGTCGTGCTTCTTTGTTCGTGTGAGACAGCTGCTTCTACTATTTCCAGAACTGTATTACCTGTATTACCTGTCCTGGGCAACAACGTCATTGCACACCGGACAGGAAATCCAAAAGTGCTCAGTTCCCCTCAGCACCAAAGCCCGCAAGGTATCCATACTGATTGTTCCGGTGAGTGTCTGATTATGGCAACGTCTTTCCTTTCCAGATATCTGCTCCTTTCTTCCTTTTCCCCTCTCTATCCCAATTTCCAGCATCCTAATGATTGCGTGGTGTTCTGCTGTCTCCCAGTCTTCTTCATCCCGCAACTTTTCCTCCAGGGTCTTCAACACTTCTCCTTTGTCAAATTTCACCTCACCATCAACCACGGCACTGCCTGCCAGCATATCAGCCTCCTCTTTGCCCTTCAATCGAGAGTGCCCAGGACAGAATATCCACGTGATGGCTCTTAGTGATGAGTGTTGTATTGGGTTTATCCATTCACTCCGAAGCAGCCCTTTCTCAACTCTTCGTAGGACACTCTGGGAGTCTGTGACAATAATGAGAAGGGTAGTTCTTGCTCTTGTATTTTGAAGCCAGCCAAGCGCTTTTGTTACGGCCTCAATCTCCATTTTCATGCTTTAA